TAACGATCTACAACAAAATAGAATGAGTTTTGGTGATAATAATATAATTCTGATTTCTCGCTAGAAATAATATCAAAAGTGCAAAAAGTTAGTCAGAAATATACATTTACACACAAGCTGACCACCAAACGCAACTTTCAGAAGCTTATTTATTTTTTAGCTCAACTGTCACGGAATGGAACGCACAGGGTTGTGGGATATCAAAGGCAGCAAAGGATACATCTATGCTGCCTTCAAAATTCGATCAGAAGAAGGTAACTCAGGAGGTAAAGCAGAATTTCGATTCGGACATGCCTTGATGCATTCCCGCCTTGGAATGCTGCCTCCTAAGGCAGCATTTTAGAGATTTCGGACGCAGCCGACATTTGAACTGCTTTAAACATTTGTATTCTGTTGAAAAAACCAGTATATGCTGGTTAGGTATTTTTTGACGCTGGGATGCTGGTTTATGCTGGTCCTTTGCTGGTTTAAGCTGGTCTTTTTGCTGGTTTATGCTGATCATTTGCCAGCACATGACCAGCATAAACCAGCATCCCAGCGTCAAAACATACCTAACCAGCATATGCTGGTTAGGTATGTTTTGACGCTGGGATGCTGGTTTATGCTGATCATTTGCCAGCACATGACCAGCATAAACCAGCATCCCAGCGTCAAAACATACCTAACCAGCATATGCTGTTTTTTTCAACAGGGTTTTTAGATACCCAAGTACTAGTTGAAACCCAATACTTGGGTATTTCTCTCAAAAAGCTCCTGTCGCCACCAGCGTGCATTGAATTTTGAGATAGTCTGGGCCATGAAGGGCCTATTTGTCTGGGCCTATTTGTTTTATCCCTTGTGGCTCGGGAAACGAAGGGCACATTTCGAGGCTGCATTTAAAGAAGCCTTCAAAACGTGCCGCTCTGACGCATTTGGTCTTGGACTGCAATCTTTGAAGGATGCTGCCTCTAAATTGGGGCACAGCTATTGTTATTGTTATAGCTATCATCCTTGGTGTAAATTCAACTTTATTATTTAGGTCTAATCTTTTCCATGATGCTTATTTTCACTAACAAAATTACTCCTGACATGTCAAATGTACAGTGTTCTGAATGTTATGTGACAAATCAATAAATGAAAAGAAGATTTTATGTGGCACAAAGCTAAATGACAAATGTATGGCCGCAGTGAACTAATGAGGCCATTAAAACAAGAAACTAAAGAAGAAACTACTGTCAGAATCGCAGAGCCATCATAGAGCTTTGAACAAAATCGATTAATTAAGAAATTACACTATCAGTAGTATTGGATTTCAGCCTTTCCCTCAACCGTCTTACAAAATTGTTTTACTCATAAAAAAAATAGGATAGAATGCGATTTTTGGAGGTTTTTAAGAGCCATGGAAGTATCATTTGATCCCATGTAGCAGGTTGTTCTCTGTAATGTATTATAATCTAATTCTGTAGCAATGTAAGGCCGCCGTGATTTTGCCAAGTAAGACATGTTCCTGGATCAAAATCTTTTGTTGATCCTGGATCAACATTACTGTCCAAAAATATAGACTAAACCCAATCCCTACCCCTAAACCTAACCCTACCCATAATTTATTCCTACTTTGTCTTTGATAATCAATTTTATACTGAGGTGAAAGTCACAATTTGTGGGTAGTGTTGTTTTTTAACTTTAACTATTAAAAACATTTTTGTTAATTAAAATAAGGCTGGAATAAAATAACAAATAACAGATAAAACCATTTAAATAAATGAAAATGAGAAATGCTGCCTTGGCGACTACTCAAAATATTAATAAAACTATTATAGTATATAAATAATACTTAAATGGTTTGTGAGAGGCTGTATTGTATACAGATTTGTGTCTATAATTTGAATCCCTGACATCAGCAAGGGTCAGATTATCATTCTCACAGTTTGACTAAAACCGTTTTTCAGTTTATAGCCAATAATTTTAAGTTTGTTTTGTTTCCTTTTTATTTACTGTATTTTTTTTTTCAACTTAGTTTATTTTTTACTAGCATTTAGTGTTGTTGTGAGTGTTTCGACCCTGGTTACAACCTTTAAAAAGGCTTAGATTTAATACAGGAAAGGCAGACAATAATAAGAGTGCATCCCTCCAGTGCCCTACTGAAAGGACACACGAGGAATCCATATACACTACCACTACATAATATAACTGTCAGCATAAGTCACTGAAATAAAGACAGTTGCTAGGGAAGGGAACGGTGGCACAGTAGTGCTCTGCATTGTTTGATACAGTGATGTGTCTTCATGAAGTTTTATGGTCTTTCTCATAGCGAAGCAACAAGAACAATTCAGCTCCCAGATGTCTCAACTGCACTCTGTGTTGTTTACATTGTGTGGGAGGTTGTAACTGATAAAAGCCATGGCAGGTGGGCTTCTCTTTGAAGCCATCAATAGACTCAACCAAACAGACTCAAAACTTTCCAGTCCTCCATAACAGGTGTCGGGACAAGAACAGGGAATTATGGTAAGTGATGCATGCACAAGTCAACAAAACAACAACACAATCAACCAAACATCACGCTAAACTTGTCACTTAGTAAGGTGATCCAGTTGGAATAAATCAAAAGAGACTTGACTATCAGATAAAATATAGATGGTTAGCAGCAAACCACTGACGCTTACAGCATCCATAGAGCTTGTTATTAATCCAATCGAAGCAAACCACACAAATGCAGGGCTTGAGCTCATGTGGCTGACCGGTAGCTAGTGTAGTGGTTAAGTTGATTCAGTGATCAAAAATGTAATAGAAATGTCAAGTTTCAGCGCAAAGCTGGCTGGAAGCAAAGGCTGCACCTTCTAGCCCTCACCAAGTTGTATGCTTCAGTCAAATGTTAATAGCTATTCAGGACTTGGCTGCTGCGAAATCCCCTTCATCAGAATGGAAATTGCCTTGCAACTTTTTAATGGGTTTATAGGGCTTTGTTGCATATAAATGGCTTAGGTAATCAATAACAATGTGTGCTTGTTGAGTCACACGTAAGATCACAATCACACAGGATCTCTATCAGCAAAGACACGCATTTTAAAGTCATTTGTATTGCGAAGGTAAAGCCTTTACAAGCATTCTCCACTTTACACTAGAGCCAGTTATTTTAAATGTACATATCAATTGTCTTTAAGCAAGCCACAACACAATTATTTCTATCTCCCTCACTCTCTCTTATAAACACATTTACCCACTATAGCATTTTATAATGAAAACTTAATATATAATTATCAATATCACAGGAAACACTCTAGGCAATTGACATTTCCTTAAAGGCATAGTTCACCCAAAAATTAAAATTTTGTCATAATTTACTCACCCTCATGATGTTCCAAACATGTAAGACTTTCTTTCTGCTGTAGATCTACAGCTAAAGAAGATGTTGTGCAGCATATTAGCAACCTGAACATTTTGGTTACCACTGACTTCCATTATATGGAGAGAAAAAAAAACATTTCAGAAGAAAGAATCTCATACAGTTTTGCAACAACATGAGGATGAATAAAGTTTGACGAAATTATTATTTTTGGGTGACGTACCCTTTTAACCTTTGCAATTCAGTTTGTTCTTTTAGAAACTGCCCACACCCTGAAAATGGAAGAATACAAACCCACCCTCATGTGATCTCATGTTGAACTTGTAATATTTTGCGTTTAAACAGATGGCAAACTCATATGACGCAGTATGAGTTTGCTCATACTAAAATGTACAACAACTACTCCCCTTGAGGAAAATCAATAGATTTTCAAATTAATCAAATTCAAACTTTGCATTTTTCCTAAGGCTGACTGCAACACCAACATTGCAACCTAACCAGGATTTAATCTATAGGATACATCTAGAAGAGTGCATTTTCTTTGATTTTCAATGCAACAAAAGCGAATGGGAACTGAAGCTGTCATGCACAAAAAAGGACGAAACGTACCATGAATGTCCATATGATTCATGCACTATATTCCAAGTCTCCTGATGCCATGTGACAGCTTTCAAATCTAGTACATTCAAATCTGCCTTACATATGATAGGCACAGGAATTTGAGGTAAATTTGAATGTGAGAGTTTTGAAAGCTTTGGAGTTTTGGAATCCAGCATGACTCGAATGGAAAATTTTGTCATTTTTGGAGTCTGACAGCCCCAGTTCTCATTCAATATAAAGCATAAGCAAAATGGTATGACTTTATTTGATCTAAAAGATTTGAGATTATAATGCACTGAACTGCAATATAAGGGAGAAAGTGTGACGAGAAAACGCTGCTGTCAAGGTTGTATTGAGTAATCCAGTGTTTGTTAAAGTCTTGATGCACTAATAGCCTCTGAATATCAAACTGATCAATACATTAAACGTTTCAACTTAACTTTAAGGTAATTTGCACTAAAAACTGAAAATAGTCTGCAAGTAATCATTCAAATGCTTGGAGTCGATGTACATGCTCATGTGGAATCACTGCTGCTCATTCAACATGCGCACGATCTGAACTCTGCTGAAAACACGAGGAAGGAGACTATATAGTCCTCATCTTCAGTCCTAAGTGGTCATCGGAAAACAACATTTAGTTATTTCTGTAAGAGATCGGAAAGGTCAGTAACCGTCAAGTACTATTAAAAAATAACAGCTTTACGTAAGCGACTTTACTGTCACTTAATTTAATTCACGCGGATGCCTGTTTGAAAACGATCAAGATCTTTTTGCAATTTGAATTAAAATTCCTCATACGGATTATTCTATTGGATATGTTTAGCCAAATTAATATATAGGCTTTGATTTTTTTCCCCTAAGACTACCTAACTTAACAGTGATTCCCTTAATGGACAACATGTTGCCTAGTTATGCAGCTCACTAGGTCTTGAGATAGCCTGTATGTACAGTTTAGGTACCTGAAAGGTTAAGCAGATGTCCAAATGTTCTCGCGGCTGAGGGTCCTTTAGGACCCAGCGGAGAGCTCAAGTGCGCGGCTTGAATACGCTTCATTCCCTCAAACTTACATTTGGAGATGATCGCTTTCAGCAGGTTAGTTGTTCTCTCCCGGGCAGGATAGGTAAGCGCTGAATTTAACTGGAGGTTTGGCTGTAATAACTCGCATTTTACAGACTGAGTGTCATTTCGATTACTTTTATTGACAAAGGCTGGAGTTCTTATCAGTAAAGTATGTTCAGCTGGCCGATTAACATTTGACAGACGTGTAGGAGAACCTGTGCACTGCATTCAGTCAATTGCTGTGGAGTAACATTTCTGGGATATGATCTGAACAGTGAAGACCGGATTCATTCACTGGATGTTTTCTGTCTGGAAAACTGTCAAGGTTGGTTATTTTTGTCGCTCGCATGTTGCAAAAAGAGTCTAATCACCATCCATGTACAGGTATTTTCTCAGCATATCTGGAGGAAATCAACTGAGGCAGGTATAAATACGTAACGCTCGGTATAATATGACCCGTGTCTCTATATAAGAGATCGTTCAGGTGTTTTTTTTTCCCTGTCTAATTAGTTATTTCTGACACCTCCAATTTTTCCATTAATCGACCAACCTCTTTATCCAAATTTAGAACTATATTCCCTCTAAACGGCACAGTTTACTAATTCTTCTAGTCATTATTTTTGCTTTCTGTTTTAAAGGAATGCATATCGCACTTTCAGTTTGTAATTTGCATAATTTGACCACAAGCTCATATTATTTCATTACCTTTCCACTCCTCATGCGCACGAGCTTTCCAGGTGCGGTCAAGACATTGAAGATCAACAGTGTTTTGTCTCCAAAAGAAAGCATTTTGTCTAGTGCTGTGTAGTTAAAGACTATTACCATGTTGCTCTTTCTCGTTCACACTCTTAAAAATAAAGGTTTCAATTAGAAGCAAAAAAAAGAAGCATTTATGGTTTGCTGCATCAGGAGAATAAATTAAAAAGCCCCTTTTTATTCTGTAGTTATCTAAATTATCAATATGTAGGTGTTTTTAAGAACTCAGAAACTATTGTAAGAACCTTAATGAAACATTTAAATTAATCTTTAAAGAACCATACAGTATATTAAACTCAAGAAGCCTACAGCTAATGAGAAGAAAGATCTTTACTCAGCCTAGCAAAGCACCATTAAAAAAAAAACTTTATTTTTAATCATAAGAGGCTGTCCATTAATCATGAATGTCATTACTATATATGATGTTTTCATTTAAAAATCTAATAAGGGAAGATTACAGATAAATCACGTTTCAGTCCCTTAATGATTATTCATTAAATGGCATTTGTTTCCCTCATAACTGGAGCTCAACACAGATATGTTACTTCAGTGGAGTTAACTGGAAGGACGTGACTCTTTGTTGATCTCAGCGGTGTGGCAGTACATCAGTATGGGAATGAGAGTAGCACTATAGACCTCATGTCACTTTGTGTGTGTGCCAGAGCATGCAAACCTTTCAGGAAAGAGGCATTTCATTATGCATGTTCCTTTGGTATGTGGTGAATATGGTCTGATGGGAAGCAAGCGGCAGGCTGATTGGCATTACTCATGGAAAGATTGATGTATTCTTACATGTTTGGAAGAACATGCCAAGCACTTTAGATGTGTGAAGCGTCCCTGCAAAGTTTAGCAGCTTGCTTTATAAAAAAAGAGAGAGATTTAGAATTGAAATGTACACTCTTAAAATAAAGTTTCTTTATTGGCCTCTATGGTTCAGTGATAAATATCTACAGAAACTTGCCATTGCACTAAAGGTTCTTTGCCGTCGAAAAAGGTTCTTTAGATTATTAACATGTTCTTCAAAATAATGATAATAATAATAATAATAATGGTTCTTTTCAGAACTTTTCACTGAAAGGTTCTTTTGGGAATCCAAAATGGTTCTTCTATGGCATGGCTGTGAAACCCGCCTTTTAGATGCTTTATTTTTAAGAGTGCAGATATGCTTGATTCTTCTTTTTCTTACTGACATCATTAACACCATAGCATATGCTAATCTGTCAGTTCAGAAACTGACAGAAAACAAAGCTTCACAACTTTAAAAAAAGATTACAGGGCGCAAAGCTGTTAGAGCTCGTTTCAATTTCAGCACCTGAACAGCTCCAGTCCCATTGCGCACAAAGCTACCATGTAAAGCATGTGGTAGTTTGTGTTTGAGAGGAAGTGAACAGTGCAGAGGGGGTTAAGGGAAAAAGTAGAATGATCAAGGCATGTCAGCAGCATTGACACTTTGAGGGACAACAAGGTTAGTGGAAAGACCATTGAATAAATAGAAGTATTCACAGTGGCTTTACAGGGTACCTGAGAGGCTGTAACCAACGCGAGCCATGTGCCATGAGTGTCTACTGACTTAAAAACACTTTGGTATGCTTTGGTTGTCTGGGGATTAAAATACAAGTGGACACAGGGGGGTGTTTTCAGAGGATCTGAGAAAAAAAAGTAGAGATAAAAAAAATACCCAAGCCATCGCTATACTTTTTTTTTTTGACATGAACATATGGGACACTTGTAAAACATTCATAGTCCTTTTTTCATAGCAAAATCTCTTATTTTTCTGCTGTTAGATTCAAGCATCAATGTAAAAAATGTATTGCTTTCTGTGAAGCAGAGAATTATGAGAATCTTTCAAATGGAATTTGCCCCTATTAAAGGGATAGTTTGCCCTAAAAATGAAAGATTGTCATTTGTTCAGCCTTATCTTTCCAAACCTGCATTATTTCTTCTGTGGAATACAAAAAAATTAAAATAAAAAAAATAAATAAAATGTTTTGACTAATGTAGTGGTCAATCTTTTTAATGCAATTAAAATGAATGACGATTGAAGCTTTCAAGAAAAAAAGACAAAAGAACCATAAAAGTACTTCACAGAACTCATGAACTAAATGGAATTTTAGTAGTTATTCACTTATAATCTTCACCTCAAAAGAGCATCTAATTTATCCTTTTGTAATCCACGGAAGAAAGAAAGTCATATGGGTTTGGAACTTGAGGTTTCATCATCAATGAATTATGAAAGTTTCTTTTCGGGTCAATTATTCCTTTGAGATTTAGGAGGTACTGACATTGCAGGTCTGTCAATAATTGTTTTGATGCTATGGCTGAAAATGGACAAATAGCCAATTCTATACTATTTTGTGAAAAATCAATTAGTACAATACTTTTAAATGCTGCAAGTGAATTTAGGCATCAGTAAAATAACTGAAATTATGAAAGATGGATATTCATTTTGAGATCTGCTTAAGATTGCATAATGAAAAAAAAATATTATATAAATAAATAAATAAAATAAAACTAACATTTAGTTTAATTTATTTTGATGTTATGACAGATAACTGACAAATGGCCAATTCTGCACTATTTAAAAAAAAATAAAAAATAGAGGCAACAAGTGAATTTAAGCATCACAACAATATAATTAAAATGATAAAAGATGGAGATGGAGATCTGCCATGGAGATAATACAGATATTAATAAAAAAAAATTGTTGCCGATGATATAAAGACAGGGCAATGTTGTGAGAAATAATGTTTTTACATATGAATCTCAATACCAAGGTGGTGAGGAAGCCACTTCTGACTGATTTTGGAAAGACCCTCCTTTTATTTGTGATGAGCTGGCGCTTCCACAGTCTCCATTCATCTCTAGAAAATTCCAGGAAGTTCTCGTTCCTCTGTTATCTCCCTCTGATGTATTAGTTTCCTCTCTAATGCAAGCCTGATAAGCTCACACTTCTCAAATTCCTAGTGTTAAGTGCATGGAGGGAAAAAAGTCTCTCCCATCTCTACTGTAACCCAATCACAGGACTGGGAGTCTGAAGCTTTATCTGGATTAGGAGTGTGATAAAACACTTGTGTGATATCGGACCGCACCTTATCTATCCTTCTATCCATGACTGCCACCTTTAACTTATTGCCTGTTCTTGTGCTTTAGAGCAACCACTCTTTCAGTCCTATTACTGACATTTTATTTATGAAACCCATGATGCTGACGGCTATACAGTGATGTCTTATTAATCACATCCTGCCCCGTGCCAGGGGCTGAACGTGGTAATTGGCTCCTTGTTAGACGTCAGCATGATTGACAAAGCACATTTAGAGGCTGCTCTGTCTCATCTATCATGGCTCGTCCCCCTATTTGAGGGGGCACGGACCTAATCAAGTCAACCAATCATACCCCAACATTAAGGATTCCTTATTTTGATGGATATGATGAAGTACATTCAGAACCCTTTTTTTTATACTGTATGGCCAATGTGTGTGCATGTTTTTATTATTGATTTTAAAAGATTGATAGTTACTGATACACTGTAAAAAGTGAAAATGTTACTCTAAAGGACTAGACTTACTGTATGTGGAACACAAAGGAGACATTTAGCAGTATGTTCATACTGCTCTTTTCCATATAATTAAAGTGAATGGTGACAAGGGACTTCGAAGCCAAAATGTGAAAAAGCACCATAAAAGAAGACCAAGAACAATAAAGATAACAATATTAGCTTCCACAACAATGGACGATAATGTTCGGGTTATTATAAGTGTGCATTGCAGATATGTCATTTGCCACTTTAAATGCTCAAGCTCAGCTAGAGAAATTGCTCCGCAAGCGATACCATTTATATCATTCTTCTGTGTCTTTATCATTGTATTTGTGGTGTGGACTTCAGTATTCTCATAGAATTAGAACAGTCATTATAACGTTATAGTTATATGTAGTTATTCTTGATGTGATCAGGCCTTTACTTACTGCACATTATATATTCCAATTCTTCTGAAACCATATGATAGCTTTGCATGAGGAAAAGGCAGAAATTTATTAAAACTAGTGCTGTCAAAAGATTAATCGAGATTAATCGCATACAAAATAAAAGTTTTTGATTACATAATATATGTGTGTGTACTGTGTATATTTATTATGTATATATAAATACACACACATGCATGTATATATTTCAGGAAAATATGCTATGTTTATATATTAAATATATTTATATATAGCATACATTTTATGAATATAAATATATACATGTAAATACATGTAAATATTTTCTAAATATATACTATATGTGTGTGTCTATATATATATATATATATATATATATATATATATATATATGTATATACACATAATAAATACACACAGTACACACACATGTATTATGTAAACAAAAACTTTTATTTTGGATGCGATTAATCGCGATTAATCATTTGACAGCACTATTAAAAAAACATAATTAATTGATAATCTTTTCCCCTGGTGCACCTTTCAAATCTCATTCATGTACATTCATATTCAAATATGGTGCGTTAAAATGTGTGTCACACCAGGTTTGATGGCAACAATGCCACAGGTCGTTGCTTCTTATGTGTTGTAAATTATTTCAATATACCAAATTTTATTATGTGCATATTTTAAAAACGAAAGAGAGAGATTTGAGAGCTATGATAGATGAGATATTTTATGAATACCTACTTACGTTCTCTTCAGTTCCTGACACAAAGCTTTTGAATGACTTTAGAAGACTTAAATGCAGTGCTTGAATCATACAGACCACTTTGATGAAACTTTTATGATGCTTTTTTGTCACATTTGGAACTTGACAGCCCCTGGTCATGAGGGTGAGTAAATGATGACAGAAATAAAATTTTTAGGTGAACTAGCCCGACAGCTAGTTCAACCTGACCTGACCCTTAAAAATGACTTTCATTTGCTGTAACCTGCTGTGGCCTGGTTGATTCAGTCATATTAAATGGATCCAATTAAATATTTTTACTTATATAAAACCAGTTACTTTTATGTTATCGCATGAAGCACATTTTAGGCCACCTCACAAACTATTTTTTGCAGTGTAGCACTAGTAATAAGGGCATCTGTCTCTGACATTAAAAGGTCTATGAAATCCATTAAGGTCGATGAAATATGAAGTATGCATACCATTTATATATCTAGAAAAAATATTGGCCTCTTTCCACCACTGCTTGCCTCAGAACGGAATCCTTGACATCTCAAATTGCTGAGAGACTTTTGAGGGTTGCGCTGTGGAAAGATGTGCAGAATTACACGGTCTGTTTGTGCCTAGAGGGATGTTTGGCTATTTGTCTTCCGTAATAAGCTGGTATTTTTAGGATATTTCTCCATGAAGTCCATCTCAGCAATAGAAAACACTTGACCTGCACCTCCTCACCTTTTCCACCGGGCTCCTCATTATTCGCACAACACTAGTCCTGAAAGCTCCTCCGCTGACAGATTCTTGTTTTCCCCTCCTTTTGTTCTTATCCCCCACAGACTGCTGAGAGCATACGGGAAACAGCGATGGACAGGCGGATGATCTGCAATGGCCTCCACTAATGGCTTCAAGAAGGAATTAATATTCTTTCACACCGGTGACCCGTGCTTGCCGCAACTTTGTCAAAACACGCTCAAGCGCCCCTGCAACACAATCAGACAAAAAGAAACAAATGAGTGAAATTAGAGCGGCCTAAGGAAGCCGAGTCAAAACTGGCACAGATGCCAGTCTTTTTTCCCCTTTAAAGTTCAGTGTTACCACAGAGGCGGTCTGCCTCATCATCCTCTGCCTGCTTATTATCTATCAGAATCCATTTAATGAGGCATCAGAAGAAAGGCGCAACCATGTACTTACTGCTAGTGTTTGTACTACAGGCCCTGTGGGTGAGTTGGTGTCATGCCACACAGCATTACCCGGCCTCATGGGGGCACTATGATGTTTGTAAGTCCCAGGTTTATGCAGAAGACCGCCTGGCCTGGCACTACATGGCCTGCCAGCCTGAGGCCACTGATATGACCAAATACCTGACTGTGTCTCTGGACCCACCCAACATTACCTGCGGAGACCCACCTGAGATGTACTGTGCCCTGGTGAGTTTGATACATTTTTACAAACTTGATGTGACTAAGAGAATCACATAACCAGTATACAACAACACATTATATTGCTTGTATTACATGGCTAGAATACTTGATTCTGATTGGTCAATCGTGGCACTCACCAGTCAACATTTTTGTTCATTGTGACAGGCAACAATATATATCTCGTATAACTCATGAAAAACAAGCAAACAAACAAAAAAAGAAATCTGCACACCAAACAAATTTAATGTTCAAGATCAATTAAAAATATTATTTTACTGAACATAAATATAAAGTGCTGTTCTGTTGTCACTTTATATGATAATCTTCAGTAAAATACTATTTTTTTAATGGATCATGAATTAAAAATTTGTTTGGTGTGCAGATTTTTTTTATCGGAGTGTCTATTTACACTAAGTGCAAATAGAGTGGTGGAACTATGATGCCACTTTGTAAGCAAAAACCCAGAAGCGAGTTAGCATTTTAGCACTTCCAGTTCCATCATCCCAGAGTCAATGGGTTTTTTGAATGGGAGTTTGGTTAAATCCTCTAAAATAAGGTCTGTGGTTCAAACAAGCTCAAGATACTTTCACATTTTATTCTACGACATAAAACACACCAGTTACACCCCACTCGTGTTTTTTTTAAACTGTTACATTTCAAAGACGGTTGCTAACAAGTTGCTAAATGGGACTACAGGCGCTGTCGGAGACATTAAACATCATCGTGCCAAACAGTTTATCAATTTACAGTATTTTCCAATCGTAGTGTATAATTTATAGTATAGTTAATTGTAGAATAACCAATTAATAGTTTCCCGCATTTTATATTGTTGTTCGACAATGTTTTTTTTTTTGCTTTGCCCCGAAATACAACAAGTCTTCGGATGGAAGATGCTCGTTTTATTGCTTTCCTACTGATGCGGAGATTTTGGATTCAGACCATAAGGTAAACTCATATTACGATTATTCCATGTAAACACCACATTTACCGGCTTATTTGCGGTGAAAGTGAAATTTTAATGATGCATAGTGCTTAAAGCCATGTTAAAATTAAATGTTTATGGCCACATGAAGCTGTCACAAAGCATATAGATTGAGGATTTTCTAGAAGCAAGGATAAAATAACATTTTGTGTATCCACCCTAACAAAACGATAGCTGAAATGTGGTACTTTATTCACTAAAATAAGCTTAACCTTACCATATCCAAAAACTCGCTCACTCTGCTGTTATTTAATAGATTAAATGCACTAGAATTTTATTGAATAGTACGTGGAAACACATTTTTAATTAAAAGGATTTATTGACTTTATTGACTTTATATAAATTCATATACAGACTAAATCCTTTTCATTGAACATGTTAAAAATAAGTTTAAAAAGTTGTGGGAAGCATGGTGGTGGTGACGTTGAAGGCGAGAGACCGTGGTGCTATAGTTCGTTTTTAGCCTAAGTTTATCTTTTAAGTTCTAGCACTTTTATTTTGGCATCAAAATTCATAAAAGTTATATTATTTTGTGAAGATTATCTTGATGGACAAAACGTGTACGTTTCATAAAAAATCCTATTGGCTTTTTGTCGAGGGAACCAGTGCGATGCTAACAGCCGATGGGCCTACAAAGTGATGTCATAGTTCCCCCACTCTATTAGCCCGCCTTGTTGGCAGAGGCTAACACTAACACGGAGGTTTACACTAACTCCGCCCACCAACGTGTGATTGGGGTAGTCAACAGTACAAAAGACGCTTGTTATGGCTCTTTTCCAGTGTGTGGTACGACTCGGTTCGGCACGGCTCAGTACGGCACGGCTCGGTTTGCGTTTCCATTGCAGTTTAGTACCGCTTTAGAGTGGGCGGGATTATTCATATGTCCTTATAGTTGTGCCGCCTCCACTGCCGCGACTCCTAAAAAACGTTTTCATTCCGCATCGCCCTATCAAGCTCTCACTGGATCCGCTCCTCTGCAATCAACGAGAGGAACGTCTGTACTTTCTTAACACGAAGCAATAATTTTTTGGTTGTTAAAAAGAGGTGCACTCGTTCAAAACAGTTGTGTTCGATCCTTCGCTGGCTGTGCTGATTTAAATCTAGGGGTTCTGTTGTGTCTCTGTGTCACAAGTTCAGTGACGCAGGTAGTGACGATTCTCTCTGGCCAATCAGTGATCAGCATAGTTTACACGTCACGTTTTGGTAATGGTAAGGTTCACTTGGAACCTCAACCGATAACCTCATCTAGCCTAATTGATTTTATTGAAGATATATTAATATCCGCAGCACCTTTAACTGATCACTGTTGCATCTTTATATCCTTCAACTCGGGCAAAAGAGAATCACATAACAAGGGTGACTGGAAATTCAATGCTGATTTATTAAAACAAAAAAACTTTTGCTTGCAAATTAAGTCCATAATTAAAAATGTGGCATTGTGTAAGGACCTTATGTCATTCATAAGTAAATGGGAATATTTAAAACACAAGATTAGAGAATTTTCTATACAATTTAGTAAAAAAGTAAGGAATGAGAGAATTTAATGATTTATGTAATAAAAGTGAAATGGACAATGAAACTAAATTACAAATTGTATCTTTACAATTCAAAATGTATTATTTATATACTCAAAAAGCTAAAGGAGCATATGTAAGATCTAGAGCAAGATGGATAGAGAAAGGCGAAAAAAAGTAATAATTATTTGTGTAGGCTTGGAAAAGAGGCGACAAGACAAAATACTTAATAAAATATCTTTACGTGAATAGAGTTATAAATACCAGCCCTAAAATTATTTATACTTTTTTATTTATTATACTAATTATTTATGCTAGCCATACTGCTAGCAACTCGAGGCAATTGATATGCCACTGCAGACGAGGCCCTGTCCAGCAGCCTGATGCTGCATGCCCGTTGCACAGAGTCTCCGGGTCGCCCGTCTCAGGAACGCCATTTGCTCTGGCGTTTTACAGGCCTGGCAGTGGCAGAGACAGGCTGCGCCGCTTTCCTGGTGCCAGCTCCACGCTGCGGCCGATGTGAAGGCTGCTGCTGAGGCCGAGCTGGAGCGGAGGTGGAGGCAGCGGGAGGGCGCCCTCGGCGATGAGCGGGCGGAGGAGCTGCAGCTGGGTGTTGACAGCAGCGGGCCGCCGGGGCAGGATGTGCTTAATTGCCTCCGTCTGCTTCTGTGCGGCGGAGAGCTGCTAGGCAAAGCTCTCCACCGCTTCGCCGAAGAGGCCAGCCTAGGAGATCGGGGAATCCAGGAAGCGGTGTTTGTCGGACTCCCTCATATCCGCTAGTTTAAGCTAAAGGTGGCGTTCCTGGACCACCAGGGTGGACTGCACAGTGACTTTCGTTGCCTGCAGAGCAAGGTCTGTCGCTGTGCGCAGCTCCTGCATCACACCTGGGTCAGAACTACCCTTGTGCAGCTGGTTCAACGCCTTGGGCTGGTAAGACTTGCAGGAGGGCCATGGCGGAGGCGGCATGTCCAGCAGCTCTGTAAGCCTTGGCCGTTAGTGCGGACGAGAACTTACATGCTCTGGACGGGAGGCATGGATTACCCTGCCAGGTGGCGGCGCTCTGCGGGCAAAGCTGCATCACAATAGCGCGCTCGACTGGGGGGATCTCCACAAACCCCTTAGCCGCTCCGCCATCGAGGGCAGTGAGGACGGAATAAGCACTAGCAGCTCTGTTTTGGGCAGAAAAAGGTGCACTCTTCATTCACCTCCGGGAAGAATGGAACTGGAGGTGACTGCCGGGGATCAGCGTGCGGCACCCCCAGGAACCAATCATCCAGTCCCGAGCAGTCGGGAGATGGAGGGGGTTTCCACTGCAACCCGACACTCTCTGCGGCCCGGGAAAGCATAGCGGTCAGCTTTGGATCTGACTTGGGCAACGCCACTCTTCCTGACGGAGGCAACACAGCCGATTCTTCATCTCCAGAGCCTAGCTCGTCCCCACGATGCAGTGATCAACATCCTGTCGTCTGCGGGCACTCCGAACGAGACGCTGGGCCCCGCCCCTGGGGAATCAGCTCATGACAGGAAATATGAACAATTAACCATAACTAGTTATAATTAACTATTCATATTTTAGATCCGCTGTAGATATTTAGCTGACCTCTCAGGGTCAACTGTCTTGTCAATTCTAAGAACGTTAATTTCCTGGTTAAGGGAAATAACTTTCTTACTGTACAATTCTACCAAGCTTGTAGCGTAAATCTGCATGATTAGTGACTCCGGTTATGAGCAAACAATGAACACGTCAAGTGTGATACAAGTAAAGTTTTATTAACTACATAAACACTTAAACTAGTCCAACATACTACATAAACACATAAACTGGTCTAACATACACATACACACACACACACACACACACACATCCTGGGGTGTTACAGAGTATTTGTGAAATCTAGCTAACAAAATATATATATTGTGTGTTTGAGTGGTCCAGACGCTACAGCACCATAACATTTGATGAAAACTGGGTTCAATATCATATTTATTCCCTATTGGACATGATGGACAATTATGGTAATGTGCTCAATTACAATTATTTTTGTTTAAAACATGGATTTGTATGTCACCCTAAAGAATTTGACACAGTTGTGAATGCCATACCAAAAAATGTGGTACTATTGGTAAAAGGGATTCTCTCACACTACTCTGTGACATTCTCTCTCCCATCTCTTTGTCTGGGTAATTTGTCTATTAGAGATCATAAATGTATCAACAAATATATTAGAAGTATCTTCATCTCTAGATTTAATCCAAATCGAATTAAACGTCACTATATTTTCAAAGATATTAACCCAGAAGAGATGAAGGAAATTAGACTGAATTATCTTACTTTTCCAAGTCTCCCTAAAGTGAAAGAACTTCATTTCAAAATAATGAATGACATATACCCATCTAAAGAATTCCTTAAATCAAAGTTTGATATTGGAGAAAACTCTTGTCAATTTTGCGGAATTGATATTGAAACCACTGAGCATTTTTGGTCCCAATTGTACAGTAAAATGTAATGT